GATATTATAGTTGCATCATGATTACGGAAATTATGAGCAATCTTATGTCAGAAATCATAAATATATCGTCGAGTCTTCTCTTTCACCCTCTCTTTTTCTCTGCAGGCATAATTCAAAACGTTCTTGTAAAAATGATAATAGATGTCTCGTCAAATTGTCATAATTACGTCACGAATACGGAAATCATGAATGATCGAGTGTTACAAATTGCAAAGACGTTTACGCGGACTCTTCGTCACGATAAGTTGCCACCCGATGTGACGGTGACAAAAAAAGCAACAAGAAACGTTTCCGAGGGTGGTTACGTAGGGCCCAAATTGGGCGCGGAAGAGAAAATCAACTGAACGAAAATGATTTAGGCGATTACAACCTCTTACGAGAACAAACTGTCTCTACCGCGATTACACGAATTAGTTGTTATGCGCGAAAGTTCGCGCGACTCATCGCTAATAATCGTCAAACGTCGTCAGATTCACGAAAACGCAATCTAATGATCATACAGCATAATGTGTACGGCGTGGTACGTAAGATTACGAAATTGATTTCTTTCCTGATGAACAGCGAGAAAGTGTCATTCATGAATTTAATGCTGTCCATCGGCGACACAAGTAATGCTGACAAAGCTCTATAAGTATGTTATGACACGACAAAAAGAGACAGACAGCGAGATATGCAAAATCGTTGATGGGCGATATAACAAATTTGTCATCTGCATCATGACTGTCTCGCGACTACACGAGGAGCTTATCGAAAAAGATCAAATGTTCGCGAGTGATTACGTGTGTATATTTACGGTAAAACTCGCTAGATAATCTCCGACAAGTACTGCAGTTTATTCTTGTTAATCTTTTTTCGTGTCATCTTTCTTCCCGAACATACAACGTAAACAAATTATAGAAATGAATGATTGCTGTTAGAGTTGAACAAGCAGTTCAAACTTAGCGGTTAAATTGAAGAAATATGTTTCCATTAGAAGGCGTGTGGAAGTAAATAAAAATAAATTAAAATAAAAGGTATTTAAAAAAAATAATTTAATTCAATATATGTAAAGCAAAAAAAATTCACACATATTTATAATATAAATACATATAAATTACATATTTACTATGTTTCACGTTGACAAATAATGCTGTTTTCTATTTCGCTGGCTAATCATGTGATTAAACTGTTGCCGTTGCGAATTTCTCTTTTTTGTTAGAGATGTTTGGACGATATTTCTCTAATATATTAAAATTCGAAACTCTTCTGAATTTCCTATAATTCTTCAACCGGCACATTTCTATATAATTCATTCTTACACATTAAAGCAGGTACGTTTTAGAACGTATGTAACAATTTGTAGCGTAATATATAATTGAAAAATATAGTGTACGTGCTGTGGTGGGGAGAAATTCTAAGATTTAAGAGTTAATCCATTGGCACCCATTAATCTATGTCGAGCATTAAAATCGTATCGTTCGACAGCTTCAATCCAAAGAAACTGTCGAGAAATCGTTAGAAATCAGCGGTCAGTTCTGCGCTAAATTGCACGTGTCATTAGCTTTATTACTGAACAACGATGATGCATGAGATTTAGCACAGAGCAGAATCACATATGTTCGATTCATCTCAATACAGCGACGCACGTATTAGTATATTAATGCCTGATGCGTGTACACTTTATTTAAAATTAATTTATTTAATATTATAGCATTATAAAAATAGAATTTATTTATTTAATATTCTTCTGCAATTATTCATTAACATATTTTTGAGCTGTCAAATTCTTTACGAAACATAATTCATGATGTGCTGGGTTGGAACCAAAGTTCGTATCGATACAAATTTTAAAATTCAAACAGCTGTAATATTGTTAAAAATAAACGAAATTCAAATTTAAAAAAAGGGTTTTTAAACTTAAAATCTCTACTTTCAAAAAATTACTGTGTCCTTTGAGTTTCAATGAGTTTGATAATTTTTCTATATAGTTAACTACGAACTGGACAAAATAAGAAATTTTTCTTCTCAATCTATAAGCCTGTCAAAAAAAATTACAAAAATTTTTGACTTTCTAACATGAAAGCTTAAAGTTTTCACTTTTTAAAAATGTTGCTAAGATTTTTTTTTACTGATTATCACGGATTAAATAAAAAAAAGCATTTCAACTTTAATTACTCGTAACTTTATTAAAAATCATACCGTAATTTAAAAGACAGATTCTCGAAGTTGAAACTTTGTTCTGTCGAATGTCATAATTGCCAATTTTTTTTAAACATATAGATATAAATATAGCGCTATGAATTTTTGTTCCAATACCCAATATTATATTAAACGTAAAATTCTGCGTTAAATGGATTAGATATATCACGATTTATTAAAACGTACAATCGTTTGTATCAATATAGAGATAGCTTTTTTTTTTCAAGAATGTAGGTTGAGGTAAGCGAGGATTCGTGATGCTTTAATTTCACACGTCACGTTCAGCGTCGTTGCATATGCGAACCTCTGACATCGTTATATTCGCTCGGAAGAGGCGAAAACAGTGATTTATTAGGTCGTATAGAAAACGAGGCGAAAGAGGAAAATGCGGAGAGGTGATGGAAGGAGAAGGACGAAAGCGCAAGGGAAGGAGGAGACCGGTTCACATCCGTGCCTAAAGTCGCAGCGAAAGCGCAGCACAACAACGATGACTTCGCGATAACGCCGGGATTCTTAAATGATGTTCGCGGCGAGCTTCCTGACCCATTGCGCTTCGACGTCGAAGTCTTTGATCGACGATTAGAATGTAATATACGTGTATTCCGTGTGCGTAAACGTGAGCGGAAAGAGTTATCCGGGAATCCTATCCGCGCGATTGTAGGATTGCTGTAATCCTTAACTCTCCCATAACATACACTCGCACACATACGAATCTGTGATAACACATATTAGATATAAATAAGTAATCCACTATTTTTTATAAATTCAATATTTATTGTCGAAACATACCGACATAATTCAATCACGAAAGTAATCTCTAATATTTTTCAATATTTCCTTTCACCTTTCAGATAAGTAATAAATTTCGACTTGACAGAAAGACTGTCTTTACTTGTGATGAATTCATAAAGCTATTTTCTTATTTCTTTTCTGATATTTTTTTCTAAATTTTTTTGTCAAACACAGCATGTTGCATTGACCGGAACAAATGATAGTTTGAAGGCATTACATCTTTTGATTACGCTGGGTGTGGTAAAATATCTTAGCCATGTTGCAATAATATCTTTGATCACAATTTCGACACAAGAAACCGAGCAATGCTCATTTCGATCTCATAAGGCAAAATTAGTCTCAATTGGTATTCACGTAGCACTTTCAAATTATCATTTGTTCCGGTCGATGTAACATATACTTTGTCTGACAAAAAATTTAGAAATACTGAAAAAATAAAAAGTGGCTTGATGAAAATTACATAAATGAGTGCGGGAAAATGCCATATTCAGTCAAAACAAATCTTCACGCCTGATAATACTTTTTGGAAATTAATACAATTTTCAATTCATGCCAATTGTGCGCTAATTATTTATCGATCTTGAAACACAGTCCTAGACTAAGGCTGGAGTAATAATATTAATAAATTAAATTGACAAACAATGACAATGAATAATGTTAAATTGACAAGCAACTTAATACTATTGATGCTAATGAGCATCTTTAAAACTCAATAAATAACTTACAAGGACTTACTACAAAGTACTCTTAATACCATTCAATTTTCATTATGAAAATTTTTTTCTATCTCTTACAGTTCTGGCGATATTCGCTTCGAAAGAGAAAAACCGATTTTCTTCTAAAGGGTGTTTCACCCCCTAAAAGTGCGTATGGGCACGTATAAAAAAATACGTGTTGCTTATTTTTGTCTGGAGAATAACATATTAAAAGCTCATTAAAATCGGAGGGGGACAGTTGCGTCCCTTTCCTTGTTAGTGCGAAAAATATTACTTCAGCCGGAGTTCAAATCTGCATCTCCTGAATTCTGTGCTGGCGTCTAGGAATTCATTACAAGTAAAAACTAGTCTTTCATCAAATCAGGATCTTTTATACATAATACAATGAAAAAGAAGAAAACAGAAGACAATCAATTTCTGAGAAAAAACTTTTTTGTTAATCAAATATTAATTTTCTAATTGTTTCTCTGTTTTACAGCACGGTAAGCTTAAAAATGAACAGTATTTTCTCAAAATATTTCAATAACATATACATATTTTTTATTTTATTATATGTCTAGATTACTTTATGACCTCCTAGATACAAAAATTTTCATTTACAAAAAATGAAGTTTTTTAAAAGTAATATACACTCACACGCGCGTAACTTTTTTTATCAAAGATAATCGTAAATTAAGAGATCTTATCCGAATAAGAAAAATTAATTCGTGTCCGAATCGGGTTGAACTAAACAATCTGTATGAACATAAGTCATCAGGGCTAAGTTATAGCTGACAATAAACCGGATTAAACTAGATATTTGCCTTTATTTGCACATACTTAGAAATTTCATGAAGCTTTATCAAGGTAATAACTCTTTTACTACTAAATGAAAAGTAGTTTCTGCACGCATTAATGCTTCATCAAGTTATAAAGACTCCTCGGTTACATGTGGCACTTAACTGGTTTCAGAAAGATGTAAAGAAACCTCCTGAAGAATGATCTTCACAATTTATGTTAACGATATTCGAAAAGATATGAAAAATATATACTATATATTCACCTGCATAACTACAAAAAAATTAAACTTTCTTTTGTACTCAATTTGATAAATAAATGTTTTGAGTACATTATTTATTCTTCACGCATTATATGCATATAAAAATATTTTAAAATTATATTAAAAATCTAAATTTAACGCACTAATATTTACAAAGTTTTTGTAGAAACATCTGCTTTAAATTCAAAATATTTTAATTCCCGATTTGATTAAATTTTATAATTATAATTATATATCATAATTATATTTTTAATAATATTGATTTGCATTTTTAGAGATGGCATCGGCGGCAGCAGAATTAGTAGCGGAGAGAGAGCCGGAGCTGAGGATCGAAATGACAGATTCAAATAGGACATTCGGAGGTGCCCAGGGTCTAGTCAGAATGGCTCTGGATCAATACACAGAAATTCTTACGACAGTTTCCGATCCACGTGTTAGCGACTGGCCACTAATGGATTCGCCTGTACCGACAATCCTTATCGTACTCCTTTATTTGTACGGTGTTGTCATATTCGGCCCACGTATGATGGTCAACAAAAAGCCATATAAACTCAGAGGAGTCCTGGTAGCGTACAATGCGTTTCAAGTCGTCTTCTCACTAGGAATGATGTACGAGGTAAACATTTTTTTATTTTCAAAAAAATAAGACAGGCTTATCATCGATACATTATAAAAGTGCATAATTTGGTAAAATATTGGGTCGTCTAGAAAGTCTGTGCAAATTTTCAAGCAAAATTCAAATAAAAAAATTTTTTAGATAAAAATATTTTTAATCTGTAATAGGGTAAAGTTGCCGAAATCGCACCGGCTCTTAAATTGCACTACCTCGCTTAAAAATTCAATTATTGTATTTATATACTTTCTTACGGATTATTTAAGATCTACATGCTACTCTATTATACTCGTGACATGAAGTGCAACAAGAGCGTTGTTATTTACATAAATAAAAAAATCGTGATAGCGTTACTATTTTTTTTTTTTACGTATTTCATAGCAGAATTACAGAAAATATAAGTTAAATAGCCTAAGTCTTGACCATTCGTCGTGATTAGAATATTATTAAAATTAAATTAACAGGATTAAAGTTTGCTTTACATTTTCTTTATAGATAAAATAAATAAAAGTTCAAAAAATGCTCTAGTTTCCTAAATCGCACCATAATCTAACTTCTTAAATCGCACGTTACCTAATATTTTTCCATTTCTTATATTTTTATTTCATTCATTATTATGTAAAAATGTATATTGTAAATCTACGAAGCATTTATTTTGTTTCACGTAGAAACTAAATTACTTCTTGAAATTATCATGTGTTTCAGAAATTACGAAAAATATATTCTTAAGTTTTTAACAGCATAATAAAATACAATTTTTACCTTTTCTTATGTAATTTTTAAATTTTTTACATTATCATAATATTTTAAATGAGGAATCAGAATTTTTTCAGTATGGTGCGATTTAGGCAACGAGGAAATTCGTTGTCTAAATCGCACCATACTGAAAAAATCTTGATTTTAAACGTTATAATAGCGCAAAAAAATTATGAAAAAATTATAAGAAAGGGAAAAGAGTACAGTTTATTATGCTGTAAAAAACTTAAGAACATTCTTCATAATTTTTGAGTTATGAGCCTTTAGTAAAAAGTGGTGCGATTTCACACAGAAGTCGAGTTTTGAACAGAACAGAGCTCTTTTAAAAATCATTTACACTGTAAAAAGTGCAGTGTTAAAAATATTTACGTTCAAAACATCTTTGCAAAACAAACGTTTAATAAAAGATATTTCAATTTTAATCATTTTAGTGTTTTTAATCCAAACACATAATTTTGTTTATTAAAAAAGTTTGAAACTAAAACATTTTTATGTGTTTAAAAAACGGAGACAAGAAATAAAATTTTTTAATATTTTAAAATTAAACACTTCTTTTTCAAGTATACTAAAAATCCGCATGAACTTACAGACAACTCAATAAAACGCTTTTTCAAAATATTAATGGTATAGACTAACATAATATATCCAATTAAATACAGTAAAGAAAATTGATCTGGTTTGAAATCGCTATGTTATGAAACGAAATATTATAGAGGAGTTGAAAGAGATATAATCGATAGGCAAACAAGTATCAAGAATCAGGAAAGTATATGAAGAAGCGCACAAGTTAGAAATCCTATAATTTACGGAATCATGCAATCCATGGGCAACAAAACGATGCTCGCAGAAAATGCAAGAGAAATGGAAGGTATAAGAGAGAAAGGAAAAGAATGAGAGCATTATATGAGAGAGAGAGAGAGAGAAAGAAAAAGCCTCGAGACAACCTTCCACGTCACCCTTGACTTTCGCGTTTTCTTATAGCCATCATTAAGATCTCGTTATAGCGTATATGACGTGCAAAGTTCATGAGTGCCGACGATCCGCTGGGATTTAAGGACTCAGCTAGCGATTGGAAGCCGGTCAAACAACTCACTCGTTGTATATATAGGTCACGATGTAAGTATGCCACCGATATATACGCTATTCGAGATCGAAAATGATGGGATGGCTAATCGCGGGAAGGATTATGAACTATCAAAACGAACAGCCACATATAATCCTCGTTCGGCGAACCAATACGGCTAACAAAGTGTGACGGTGAAAGGAGATGTGATGAATAGAATCGTATAATCATTCAAAGATCCAAGAAGAGACTTCGACTTAGAACTTCATCGGTTGCACTAAAAGAAAAAAATGGTTGCAATTATCATAATTTGCAGTCCATTTCTTTGGTACCAAAATTGCCAACTGTTTTTAATAGAACGATAAATATAAATATTATTATTAGTATTACAGCAGTAATAGTTATTATTAATATTATAATAGTAACTATAAAAACGGAACTCTATCATAATTACTTTATCATGTAATTATATTCACTAATACCAAATACTTTTCTCTCAGTTATGTCGCGCGGAATCAATGCATTTAGCTTAAATGTTATCAGATATAATACAATTTTCAAATCACTCTTACTTCAAAAGTAACACAACACATTAATAATGAATTCGATCAAATGCACTCAATGTTCGCATTAAGATCGTCGTACACAGATTGACATAAAAATACGTATTTAATATAAGTAGAAATAGGTTAAATCGCGAAACCTTCAATACACTTTATTGTGCTGTTTGGCAAAATACGTATTTTATAATTCGAAATATTTGCATTTCATTTTTACATTTAAATTAAATCATATATAAAACGGCTATAATACGCACCCTCACTAAAAAAAAAAGTGTTTAATTTTAAGATATTATTTGTCTCCATTTTCTAAACACTTAAAGACGTTTTAGTTTTTAAAATTTTTCATAAACAAAACACTGTGTTTGGATTTAAAATACATAGTGTTTTCAATCCGAACACGTAGTGTTTTGTTTATTGAAAAAGTTTAAAACTAAAACATCTTTAAGAAGTATTTAAAAAATGGAGACAAGAACAAAACATTTTAATATCTTAAAATTAAACACTTCTTTTTTCAGTGCTTGCGCACTAGTACGTCCAATCGAATTCGCTATAAGTTTTCCAGAAAAGGAAAGAACTATTTTTCAATTTGAAAAAAATTATTGACTAATCATTAATTATTAAATAATATTGGCAAAAAGAATATATTCTTAATATAATCAAACGTCATTTTTATTATACGATCCTTATAAAAATTCATCTCTTTTTAGTTATGATGATTTTCTATAAAGTTAAATTAGTTCACCTTTAATTGATTTTTATTTAATATCATCGAATTATTTCTATTTTTTTCTTTTTTGTATTAGATATATAGTACGCTGTATTATAGATATACTGTACAAAATATTGAAAGCATATAAATATAATACAAATAATCCTAATGATATAATTAGTATCAAAATAACTTTTTACTAATTGAAAACAAGCATAAGAAATTAACAAATTAACACCTTCGGTACTTCTAGCGAGATACTATCAACAGTTCTAGTATGAAACTCAGTCATGGTATCAGCTAAAAATCACGTTTTTTAGTTGTATCACATTTTTTAAATAAGAGAGTAATATGTCTTAATTATAAGTTTTATAAGTCTTAATTAGTTACCACACAGATCATTATAGATTCATGTTAGATATATAATGAGCAAGTTTTCTTATCTTATCTTGTGTTACACTGTAACTCTTATGCAAATCGCTAAGAAGTCAAAAGTCACACATACATTGATCTATAATCATAGGGATATTCATAACGCCATAGCTTAATGAATATAAATCAAAATAAACGTACATATTATATATACGACAACGAAATAAAATTATAAATTTTACACGACTAGTTTTCAACTAGTTCCTAGTCTTGCAAATAAAGTATGAATGAACTACAACAAAGAGATAGAATAATTTAAAGTTTATTGTCTCGATTATTAACTTTCTTATTTTAACACGCATTTGTGTGGAACAAATTACATGGAGGATTCGTATTGTTTGATTAATTATTTGCAATCATTTTATATTAAATTTAATTAATTTGTATCTTAATTAATAATAATCCACAATTAGATCTTTAATTGTATATTATAATTAATTAGTAATTCAGATTCAAATCTGCGAATCGTAGATTTTAAATTGATAGTTATAAATGATAGGCGGTGAAATTTAATTAGATATATACCCTTTCACTGACAAAATACCTGCAATGTCCCCATAAGAATCTCCTTAAAAACGCGATTACTATAAAAAGCAGTAATCTTGCAAAGCCAATATTACAAAAAGTATTGAAACCATTATGAATAAAGGAATATTCAAGAATTAAAGTAGATTTATTACAAATTTTTCAACTTTTGACTGGCAATGAGTCAATTCTTCACACAAATGATATAATTAATTTAGATGTGGGTAAAAACAAAACGTCGATAAAATTCGAATAACATTCAATCAATTAAATATTTAGAAATCATAAAATTTTAATGCTACTAAATTTTCTCTTAATCGTTTCGTAAACGTTTCTTTTTTTTTTTTCAATTTAAAATTTTACTCTGTCATAAACTATAGCAAAAAAACAGCATTAAGTTTGTCACAATTTTAATCTTAATCAACTTTCCAATGAAGGACTTACGACATAATTATATAATTCCAAACATGGGATCTCTGCTTTTCTATCGATAGCCTTGACCTACTTATGCCAACGTGTCTAGACTTATTGTAAACAGAGATACATATTATTCTTTATTTTAGACAAAAAGATTATCAGAATGAGCGAGGTTTGCTCCGTAATTAAAATACTAACGTCTCATTGGAATATTAAAGTCACAGTGAGTTATTTTCCACTTGCTAATGATCGATTGTTTTAAATCTTTTAAACGATGTAATTACATCCTGTTATCGAATCGTACTCAATAATTTGTATTTTTTCATTCCGTTATTCTACAATCTTTATCAATATTCCTGCGAATTTCATGTATCGATATAACACAATTTTTTCTATTTATACGTTTATATTTTGATATATTAATCTCTCTTATAACAGTTATTAACTTAAAATAATATCCAATGTATATTCTAGATAAGATTCAGATTTTTTATATTTAAATGAAAATATTTATTTTATTACTGAAACGAGAAGAAAGAAAAGTATATACCTAAATTGTAATACCTCCTTGTAATTAAATCTCAATTGTTACTCAATCGATCTATACACTCGCACACTCGTTTCATTACAACGAGACATCCTGCTTTCGACTTTCCATAAAGTACTGATTGCAAGTCCCGTTTGTACCACTCCCACGGAGCACGATCGAAAAGACAAAGTAAAACTCCGTGCGGAAGGTCAGACAAAAAACAAATTTTCACGCGCCAGGGAATGGATAATGAACAGTTGTATCCACGCGAAAGTGCACTTTGCAGAAGTGACTAACCGCAATAACTGCTGCTTCAGTTAGAGAGTTGGTCAGGAAAGCTTTTTATGTACACAAAATGGCACAGCTTTTCCAAGATAGTTCTGCTCGTTCAAATATCCAATAGTTTTGATTCGCTTTAAAATACGAAATCGTAACGGCTCTTCTCTTCGGAGTAACAAACGAAACAATATATAAATCATCAACTGCGATCAAGATAATAAAAAATCTGCCCTATAATTTAACTTAATAGCACTCCATTTAAAAGAATAAAAAATTATTCTAAAAATTTTTATTCTAAAAATATAAGAATATTTAAAAAATAATTTTTTCATTGAATATATACATATGTATATATATTTTATCAAAAAAATGCTTTTTCTTGTCAAATTTTTCATGCTGTAGTATATTAAATAAAATTATTTAACTACGTTTACTTCCAATTGAGTGGAAGTTAATTTTAATTCTAATTTATGCGTATTATATCGTATTATATCGACCAAGAAGGTGTCAAAATCATGATAATTTGTATAAATGATTAAAAGATAAAGCATCAGGTGGAGTTCATGTGATTTGGATCAGTAATTATACATATTACGTGTATTAAATGCGTTCACTCTATTAATTTTCTCAGCTTAATTGACATTGACTTTGCTATTTAATATCAGTTCAATCTTTTAATTCACATACATACTGCATAAATTATAATAATTATCATAAATTAAAAGAGGTATAAATTTGTCATTTCTATCCATATATCCTGATTATTACATATATTTTCATATTATCAATAAGGTTTTTTTGCAATCTGATTGTATACTTCCGGATGACACTAAACGAAAAATAAAAAATACGCAATCCCGTGATTCCCGTCTGTGCAGAAGAAAATTAATGAAATTATTCACATTATTATCTGTCGAATTGTCAGAACTCATAGTTTCCACCACGACAGCTGCTTATTATTCGAAGTATACGCGGCGTAAGAATTAATCATCATCGTGGAAAAGAGCCAACATTGAAATGAGTATCGACTTAACAGAGTGTTTTTTTTCTAAAGATTGGATGTTAAATGGAACGTGGCCTCAAAACCTGCAGTTTCTCCTGAAATAGATTTATACTTGCTGTCACTCGTTATATGAAAATTGGTAACATGTGTAACACAGTCTTTTCAAGGTAGACTTTCGGACCAATTTATAATCGGATCGAGGACATCAAAAACGAAGAAAGAGTGATATCAAATTGATTTAAAACGCCAATGGCAATTACAAATAGTATATATATATATATACTATCGAATATATTAAAAGAAATATAAAATATATATCTATAAAATTATCTAAATTGTATCGTTCCTCTTCCGTTCAGTAACTATAATTTGTTTTACTTTCGTCATCTCTCTCACCGACGAGAAAACATAGTTACCATTTTTTCTAACATGATGAAATAAAATCAATATTTGTTCAAACCAATATTACATGAAATTACGTTACATCAGCCTACATTACGTTTTGATTTGAAACGTTCTAAACTTTCTTGTTATTGTCGAAATAAACGATTTGTGGTATAATCTATTATCTTTAATGATTTACGAGGTCGCTCAAGAATTGAAGTTGTTCCATCAAAGGTAATTAATACGTCTAACTGAATGTTTCTCATTCTTTTACAGCACTTAATGTCCGGATGGCTGTTGGATTACAGCTATAAATGTCAACCGGTCGATTACTCCCACAATCCATCCGCTTTGAGGATGGCGAACCTCTGTTGGTGGTACTTCATTAGCAAGTTCACGGAATTCGCTGACACGGTACGCTTCATTTTTATAAATTCGCAAACGTAATACTAACAATAGTCACTACAAAGCTTGCAAATTAATCTTAAATTAAATTATAATTGAATTAAATTTAAAAAACTGATACAAAGAAACACATTATAATCAGATTTATTATTAATTAAATTCGCGCGTGTATTCGTGAAAACAAATAAATAGAATGTAATGGAAATAAAAATGTCTTTCGATTCTTTCCGAAGCTACCGAAACAGCAAAGCATAAAATTATGCTATTGAGATGCATTATCTTTATAGAACGCATATATGTCGAGACGCATGAAACTTTCTCTTATATTCTATTAAAAAAAACCCAAAAATAATTAACCCTCTGTATTTATGGCATTTGTATTTTTATTTAGATCCTTTCTTGATTTAAAAATGAAAATTATTGCAAATATCTATCTCAGGTTTGGAAATATGAATTATGCCATCAATATACTGCGTTATCTCTAATGCAAAATAACCAAAACCAGTTTCAGCCACGCGAGATATAAAAAATTCTGTTAGACACCAAAATTAATTCGAATAAAAGGGCGAAAAATGTTGTATTATCCGCATACACTTTCGATTCTTAATTCGCACAAACTTACTTTTCTCTCGAAAATTGCGCGCAGTCAACCAAGAAAAACGTATTGCGTTATCTCTTGTTTGTCGTACCGGGATCTGGTGAACGCTCTGCATTTTCAATGAATGTATATACGCGTAAACAGACCGAAAGGTGGAGAAAGAGAGAAGTGGAAAACTATTCCCCGCTAGCTATTCCGCGAGAATCGCATAATTATGTACGTACGCTCGTGTATCCCTTCTCGCGGCGCAATAACCCTTAAGCAATCATTCCCATTAGCGCGAGTGAGCAAGAGCGGCGCCGAATCGCTGTCGAGCACGCAATACCAGCGGATTAAAGGAGCAGATAAGATTTAATCGACTGATCACTACTCGTTTGTTAGGTATTCTGACCCGACAATTCGAAAAGCGGATGTTTAGCTTTGCCAGCAAAACGAAAAAGAGAGATATAAAGAGAGAAAGCGCTTAAATAGATTTTCGACACCGCGTGTACGAAACTCAATCGAATGCAGGAATCATCGCGAAACGGGCTTTTTCGCCATTCGTTGCTCAATTTTGACGGCGGTGTATATTTCTACTATCGCGTTCTATCGTGCCTGGATGACGAAAATCATCGCGTTTCCGTTAATAGACGTAGATATTTTCCACGAGATACAACTCGCGAGCCTCGCATTACCGACAATTAACACGACAATAAAATATCACTTACTCCTTCCTTTCAAAATAAACGGTCGATAAGATTATTTTACTATTTTTTTTTTATTTTAAAACTTAATTCGAAAATATTAATAAATAGACTGAAACAAGTAAATAAATTATTTAAAATTAAGTAACGATAAATTATTTTTAATGGGCGAAACCATTAATGTATAATTTTAGGTGATAAGATTCGAAAGCTTTAACTTGGTTGAATTAAAAATTAAGAAGAAATAAATTCCTTAGTAAAAAGTACTTCTTAATTCTATTTTCTTAATTCTAATTTTGGAATGTCTTATATGCTTTATTAATTAGCATTGCATTCCATTTACTTGAGGTTACGACAGAGGAAGCGGACGCGATACTAAATCATAGGTCAATGAATCTAAATCCAAGCTAAATAAACAGGAAATTACGAGTGCTCGCAAAATTTTGTAACGATATTGCTCATCGAAATTTCAGATATTCTTCGTGTTGCGCAAGAAGGACAGTCAGGTGACATTCCTACATTTGTATCACCATTCTCTAACACCCCTTGAGACGTGGATCTGCGTGAAATTTATTGCAGGTGGTCATGGCACCCTGGGTAATCTCATAAATAACGCGGTACACGTAGTCATGTACGCATATTACATGTTAGCGGCCATGGGCCCGGAATTTCAGAAGTACTTATGGTGGAAGAAGCATTTAACTACTGTGCAATTGGTGAGTAGTCAATCGAGTCGCATCTCTTCTGAAATTAATACGAATCACTCATCTATTGTTTCAAAAACTTGAATTAATAATTAAGGAGAATTAAAATTAAAAAACAAATAAAAATCTACAATTTTTACAGTATGTATTTAAATTAAATCCAAAAATATCTCTTTTTAAACTAATACGAATAAACTTAAACTATCATTTATATGTCGTTCCAAGGGGGCTTGAATTGAATTAGAGTTAAAACACACAAACAATATACGCAATTTTCAAACGGTGCGTTTAGATTAAATTCAAAAAATATAATAGAAGGATAATCGGAATCTTTTCTAACACATATAATTACACAATTTTAAGTACGATTTAACGTAGAAAATCATAAAAGTTTGCTCCGAATTATATAGATCAATTTAAAATGAATTATATGTTTGACGTAAAGGAATCTGGAAAAAATTACTATCTTTTAGAAGAGGAATTCTTTTCTCGTTACATAGCGTATAATTTAAGCCGGTCGGATGTTTGTCGGTTCGTACACACTTCGATTGTACGCAATAATGCCAAGCAAATGTAACGCAAAAGTGCAATATGACCCAATGTATGATCCAATATTCCGAATTACGAATGTGCGATAGTAGCGCGAGCGATTTTTTTTTCGTACGAATCAAAACCGATTCGTGATACCTTCTTCTTGCACAACGCGTCGGGTTTCGCGTCGTGCCGATAATAACCCACGTCGTTGAAAGTGAATGGATAGGCACTACTGACCCATTGAGTGTGCTTTAAAGGGTGCACATCGGCAATACGTGAACTATGCTAATCGTCCGTCGAGGCGCGTAGTATGTTTGCTTTCCTCCTACGAATCTATTTTTCGATGCAATGTATGCCACCGTTCCAACAACAGGTTGTTCAGATAAGAATCAGGCATTAAGTACCAATTACGATGACGCAATGGAATTTATAACGTGTTAGAACAGTATAATTACTGGGGAAACTTAAGATAGAAAATTTCGATAATTAAATATAGATTCACTCATCACACTGAAGTTTACGGAATATATTTCGTTGCTAGTTTTTCTTAAATGCGTGCAAAGAAAAATATTTTTACAGTTTAAAATTAAAAATAGGTCACACCGTGGGTTTCTCAAATGACTTTAAATCAATTGCGCGCTTTAAATTAATGGGGAAAAATGCGATGATTAATGCGTCGTACTTTGTCTACGAAGTATTTCTCGAAACTTGTAATGAAATACATTGCGTAGGGGCTTGAAACAAATTACGCGAGGATAATACGTTTCACACTTGTAGCTTCTAAATGTTATTTACTCTTTAAGTAAAAAGTTTTGCATCCTCTACTTGAAAAAAAATAAGATTACCAAAATTATTTCATATGCTATTAAAATAAATAAAAAATTTTAATATGTAAATCATTTACGATGTAATTACAAAAATTTACGGTACAATGTGATTCAAAAAATATATTTTAATTATTTACACCGTTTAAAACATTTCAGAAAGTATTTTCTTAAATTTCCGTATTTATTTAAATAGGCATTCAATATTTAGTCAGAAGATTTCTTTTAAGCTTGTATGTTATAATCCATACACGTAAGTTTATAATTAAAATTTAATTAATTTTATCAATTATTTAATTTACTTTATCGATTAATAGAATTCTTTATTGAGACAAAATTGAAATAAAATATTTCCTGAAATACAAGCTCGAGGACTACGCATAAATGAATAATCAAAGACTAACTAAAGTCACGATAAAAGCGGAAAATATTTGGCAAGCCATCTTGCTGCGAGACAATCGGAAAAATCGGTGAAACTCGTTCGGCGAAAGGCGAGTACTGTACTTATTAATAGGGAGACCGCTAAAATCGACTTCGTCGCTGAAAAGAGGGCACGTTCGAAAAACCGGCGCGGTCGGCCCGGATACGCGAATTGCGCGAACGAACTCGCGATTGCTCGCGGATTCTGGGCCATCGGCCATTGGTGTTCGTTAGATCGGTCAATCCCGGTTTCTACCTAGGCAAAATTTCACGCCAAGCGTACGTAGGTAGGGGTGAGGGAAAGTGAAAAGTACAACGCGCGTTGGGCAATTCGACTCGACTAGACCTCGCTTTAGCCGGCCGCCGAACTCGGCCAACCACGTTGGCAGTGGCGCAACAATTTGGCATTCCGATATGCCATACAGCACCTGTGTACCACCACCATCACCATCATCGCGACCACCATCACCGCCACCGACACCATCGTCATCATCACCGCCGTCGTCCTCGTCTGCTCTCGTCGCCACCACCGCTGCGACCACCACCGCTGTCGGCACCGCCATCGTCATCATTGTCGTCGTCGTCGCGAGCTACCACGAACCGGCCACATACCTACGAAGCCTCACCTATATGCCTCAACCTATCCCAGTTTATCTCGCAAGACCATTGATACATACCGGCGAATATGTCCAGCCGAGGTACAGGTGTACCAGCGGACTCCGCTTTGTATCCACTCATGATGCATTCTCTCGAAGAACTCCGTCGTAATAAGAGAACACATAGGGACACAAGCGGCACTTTCAGAAAAAAAATGTCTTCGATGATGAAAGTACTTTGAATCGAATGAGAGATTTATAGATATGCAGTCATTTAATCTTTCACGTATCGCGGTTGCTACATCGACTACTACATACGCAAAGGACTTAAATGAGATAGTTGATTGTTTAAATGGATAATGATCGAAAATTCATATTTTGCTCAAAAATTAATTTTGCGGAACGAAATTAAATGAAAAGTTCAAGAAGTTAAAGAATATAATAGTCCGAACACTTTTCAATAGAATTGAACGCGTGCGTTTTTATCTAAAACTCTTAAACCAATCTATTCATCCCGTGAAAGGTTGTCGATTGCATTACACTAACAAAAAATATTTCTATGGCGTACTTAGCGAATCAAGATGCAAGATGTTTGGCATTTAAATAAGTGAGAGTAAAAAGAATAAAATTCTAGTAAATTGTCTGGAAAATCTCACATATTGCAATAGATACGTCAATCGTAAAATTAGTGTATGATATATTATACGAGTTGTAAAAAATAATTCACACAATTGTTTAAACATCAATTAAACCATTTCATGGATTAAGACTTAATTAAGACTTAATTACGATTAATTAAATATTAGATTATCACGACAAACAATTTTTTTTGGTTTCTTTGATATATTTAATAATGAGCTCTTTGACATCTAAAAATAGATGAACAGAGAGCTTTAGCAAATTATTCAGTTTAAAAAATTCTAATTTTAAATCACGTAATAAATACGCAAATTCACGCAATATAAAAATAGTTCTATCAGCTTGCTTATAGATCTAAAAAAACGTTATCATACGTTTTTTTTTCATTTTGATTATCTTTATTAAATCAAATTTAATTTAGTTAATAACACTTATTCAAATATCTTGCTATATAATATATAATAATAAAAATAATACAAATATTAATAATATATAATTATATATAATATATAATAACATATAATATATAATAATATAATAATATCTTTGAGACACACACGTAGAATAATCTTTCAAAGATAAACGCGTTCAGAATCAGACACATTCGCTCGCAAATCCCGTTTTATGTGAAAACAGGATTGAGGGTAGGATTAGACACGATACTGAAAGAATCAATAATAAAGTAGTGCGAGTTTTTACTGACAAATTCACGGTGAATTTAACTATCTGTATGTCAGAAACTCGGCCATCGCACGCCTATCCGTATACTTTCTATAAGTCGGTCAACGTGTGTTTAACATTTATGTGTGACGACTCATCCCATTGACTAAGAATCGCTTTTTCTTTCTCACGTTTTGTACTGATCTTCAAAGATAATTTAAACATGAGAAATATCTAACTCTCGTAAGGTAAATCTTACACAAAGTTGTACCGACAGCAACGCTCGCACGCTATAAATATTGTCTCATTCACGGACTGGCCTCTCGGTCGTTATACGTTAAGAGAGAACGATATGCGCTGGGTATATTAGATATATGAACAGTTATTGCTACATACTGCATTGCGTTCTTTCTTCGAATCGCTTAATGAATTCGGTTGCAATACAGAGTTGATCGAGTCAACCGAGTAATACGCAACGCACACGGCTGTGCAGAAATCGAGAAAAACATAATGCGCACGGTGTAAAAAAATACGTCGATTCTCTATTAAATATGTATTTTAAAAAAAAAACGCAAGCTTAAATCAATTATGTCAATTAATTATATATAAGTTATATATTAATTATATATAATTATATATTAATTATGTATAAGTTGATATATATATATATTACAAGATTCATATACTATTATATATAATATAATTTTTACGTAAATTGTAAGATTTCTGGATTTATATATATGTTTAAATCCAGAATTCTGATGCTTCCATATTTAATTTGGTTGATATTCATAGGCCGATATTCATAGTCAGTTCTTATTTTAAGACCGTCTTAAGTAAATCTTAAATCGCTAATGCGGCCCTCTGATTGGTTCGTGACACTTCAAAACAAAACTTAAGACGGTCTTGAATATAAGAATTGACTATGAATACCGGCCATAGTCTGTTCTTATTTTGAGACCGTCCTAAGTAATATCTTAAGATGCTAATACAGCTCTCTAATTGGTTCATGACATTTTAAGACTGTACTTCGGATGATCCTAAAATTGAGATCCGCCTATAAATATCAGCTTTTAACTCTCGATAGTTTTACTCACCACTTATAAATTCTAGTGCCCGACTGTATTGTTAAATCTGCTGAATTGTTGAATTGATTTTGCAGGTGCAGTTCTTCCTAGTGTTTGTGCATAGCGCACAGGCTCTCATCTTCGATTGCGGTTATCCCAAATTGATCGCGGCCCTCCTCCTACTTCATGCGACGATCTTCTTCGTGCTCTTCTCCGACTTCTATAGGTCCGCTTACCGCAAAGGAAAGTCCGCAAAGGAATTCAAGGCTGAATAGAACACACGAGGGAACATATACGAAAGGGAAAATCTTCGTTCCGACGAACGAAACACGCAATACACACGTACACACATGTCGCGTCGAAATGTGGCTCCTTTCTATACCGGTGAACTTTTACGCTCGTTAATGTATCGACAGATGAGGAACTCATTGACCAGTCATATACTTGAAAATGACAATTGAGTCAACCAAGTGCGAGAGCAATTTAAATATTTAAATATACACGCGTTCTACACGCAAAATATCGAAATTTCTGATCTACTCTGAAAACAATAGAAAATTATAAATAGGTCGATATAAAGAGAACTATGGCGCCAACAAAAATTATGCCGATAATAATTTATAATTCTTATACATAAATAATTACAAAGAATGGCAAGTAGCGTAGGGGAAAATTTCAGTCAGAAAAATTGACAAATGGGAAAGAAGGGTCAGTTGGTTAACGGGTTAATGCTATTGTATTTCTTATCTGTTTGCCAAGGCGATACAATGAAAAGTCTGCGATGACACAGGAAGGACTGTCTATTAGAAATGTCTTTACGTCTGGTGGTGATCAAATGTGATTGTTTGATTGCTTTTGCAGAGATAAATTGTATTGGCTCCCGATACATGAACGTCGCGTTGAAACGTTTTTCGACAGATAATCGAGGTCAAACGTTTCACTGGTGCGGAGCACGAAGATTTCTTTCTCACGGAAGAATATTTTTATTTGTTATACCCTCTCCGGGCGTGTATCTTCCGCAGGATATCTCAGGTCTCGCGCGCACCTTGGACTAACTTTAATAGCTTTAAAATGTTGCCTCTATTATATTTTAATCGGCCTCCATCGCCCAATTAACATTGTTCTTTAGGAGTTTAAGAAACGTCGCAAGTTAAATAAAATAAATGGTAAATGTAACTTTCTCTCTCCTTTTTGAGGATAAAAAACCTAGAACTTTGATGTTGCAATAAACACAACGGGGAACACAGAGACGAAACGAAGCAATAATAAAATGTATACGGCTTGAAAATTACATTGGTTACAATTGGAAAAATACTCTGCCATAAATCGGTCTTAAAAACTGTGCAATCGTGCGTGTTCGATATTTGTAATTTTATTAGAATCAATGTATTAAAATAAAAATTTGAAGACTCACACGTGCACGATATGTTTTGTGTAATTCTTAAATAATTCTGGAGTCAATTAATTAATGCAAAACAAATGAAAATATATATATGTAAGAAGCTCATCTTTGCATTATGTTTAAACCAACCGAGATTGCTACAGCTTTTCAATCGAGAAATGGAGCAATCGGGAAAGGTGCAATGTACGCTCGCCAATGCTATAGACTCCCAGGTATACCGCAGTGCGACACGAATTACGACAGACCCTTACCAATAAATTTATATCGAGAAATAGCTGGAAATGTGAAAAAATTCATGTATCTACATCAACGATATACTGTGATACATCCCGTCTTCTTTAAAAATCATACATGGGAAGAACGATTTTGCTGAAGTATCTAAAAATTTAACTAGCTACAGATCTGAAAATAATTTTGTTGGATTATCAAAATAATTATGTAGGATACTCAAGCGGGTTTCTGAAATCCAAAAATTGTTTACAGCATTGCTCATCATATTTCATATATACTCGTAATTAATTTAATGGTCCAACAAAATTATTTTCAGATCTAATTAAATTTTATATATTTCAGCAAAATTGTTCTTTTCGTACGACTTTCCACACGGAAAAAACAGTTTTATTGAAATATTCAAAAATTTATCTAGACACACATAGATCAGAAAATAAATTTTGTTAAACCATCAAAACAATTTTGTAGGACGTTCAAGCTAATTGCTAGAATGCCGAAACCTTTTACAGCATTGCTCATTATATTTAAGTCTTCCATACGTATAATAATTTTGACAATCTAACAAAATTATTTTTAGATCCGTATTATCTAGCTAAATTTTTTGATACTTCAGCAAAATCATTCTTTCTATGTGGCTAAATGAAGTTTAGCAACAACTCGCGATTATATATTAATTACTAATACATATGGAGGAAATCTCAAATTATATTAATACCATATTTTATTGCTTCGATTCGTCTTGTTAAACTCACCATTCTGTGAGGTACAGAGAGGCGATACATGTATATTTATATATTATTTGATTTAACGGAGAGAATTATTTCGCGAAACCACGCTGATGTTTCACCACTTATTCTACTTCCACGGGATTACATAGCGAGACGCGAGATGACGAATGTCACGAAGAACCGGCGCGGACGCACGGTCCGACGCCGTCGGAGAGGACCCGCGGAGTTGCACGTCCGCACAGCGCTTCTCGTTTTATCGATTTCCTCGATGAAGCTGCGCAGCCACGAGAAGCGCACGAAACGATACCGCGAACAATGCAGGACGATGGCCGAGGGGCGATTACGATAAGACTCTCGAGGTTTAACAGTTGTACGATAAGATGATAAGTTATTCTTTCGACGCGAGACAATAATCTTAGGGTTACGGCTCTCGCATACGTCGGTCGCGCGTACGTGCACCGTCTTGTACATATTGTATCTCTCATTTTGTAACGATGAATAAAATATTAATTAAAATATTAACTCTGAATATGAATTCTACTTTGAATCTGCGCCTGCAAATTAATTGCCTAACAATCACAAAAGGTGTTTAATTTTAAGATATTAAAATCTTTTAAAGATATTTTATTTTTAAACGAGCATGTAAAACGCTAAAAAGTGTGTAGTTTTGACAAATGTCTTATTTGAAAACACATAAAGGTGTTTAACTTTTTAAAATACATTATTTGGAAACATCTAAAAAATGTTTTAAACTAAAAACGCTTTTATTTTAGATGTTTAGTTTCTATAAAGACAATTAATTTTATTTCATTAAATTTGCCAGTTTTGCTGGCTACAATATATATAAGTAGGCGTTAATTCTTCTTTACGAGAAAATCTTCCAACACTATATCATCTTTCGTGTTTCGATATAGATATCAAAACACTTGTTAGCATCACAAGTATGTCTTATATTTCAAAATGCTTCACTTTCTGTGAATGTTTAATATCAATTAAATATTGTTTTTCAAGGTGAAGAAAGTAAACTCTCAACTATCATAATTAGACATTTTTTTTCGTTTACTTGTACAAAGAAAAAAATTAATACTTTTTAATAATTTAAATAGTTAAAACTTTTTTTAATAGTTAAATAGTTAAATCTAAACATTATGGTGTTTAGATTTAAAACACTAAAACTGTTTAAAGCTAAAACATCTTTTATTATCAAACGTTTATTTTGAAAAATATTTTTTTAATATAAGCATTTTAAACACTGCACTTTTTACAGTGAATCGATTAATAAAATAAATAACGCTAGCTTGTTACGTAATTATGTCATAAATACACAAAACTTCTCACACAAACTTTTTTGTCACTCTGTAGAGCGTGAAATACTTTACGTTTTTCTAAGATACATGTTATGGAATTATTTAGAACAGATTCCGATTAGAATTTAATTATTCTTAGATTTCCTAGATGTCCATTCTAAGAAAATCGGAATTCCGATCGAAATCTATTCCGAATAGTTACCATAATATGTGTCTAAAATCCGAAATAATTCCCAGCAGTTCGATTTTAGCAATTTAAATTTTATATTAATTTAACGCGAACTGTCAAAGATTATTACCGCGTTTATCTATCGTTTCATAAAGTAGAAAATTTATTGTTACATACATTTTATTGATATAGCTTATTTACATTAGCGGGACAATTCCCTTTTTTACATAGCAGTGCAGTCTAAGTTACCGACGACGATGAATTAAATTTATCAAAATTCAGTGGACTTTCACGCTGCTGCTGCTTGCCGTATCCTCTTTTCTCTTTCGAGAAGACGACGTTCCCTTTCATATTCTTTCATTCTTATGACGTAACTGCACAGATACAATATTATTATTAATGTATCTTGAAAATTTATAATATGATACAGGTATTTCAAACAATATGAGATACTTACTCTTCAACGTAGCACGCGTTATATTGGTGTCTTTCATGCGCGCATTTCAACATGAAGGGAAAATGACGTCTCTTACACTCATGTAATTCCATATACTTGTGGGCGCAATAATCACGTTTCTCAAGAGGAATCTTGAAAGCCATCATGTCTTCTTCTGACAACGGCTTCTCTGTAAATTTGGCACACTAATTAGAATCTGGATGGAACACATATCCTCTGATATCTAATTAAATTTATATAAAATTTGAATCATAAATGCTATTGCTGATCATATATAATTCTTCAGTTAATGATAGATATAAGCAATTAAAACATATTCTAATTTTCCAAATATGATATTAATGGTAAAACAATAAAACAACCAAATGTCATACCATTGTAAAAATTAAAACAATTATTCACTAAATTAATTGAAGATAATTCAATTAATTTGAAGATAATTGAAATAATTTTTTTTGAAGATAATTTAAAAAAACACATAAAAACAATTGAATTTTTAACTTACTTGTCATGGATAAATCATTCAGGAATAGAACATATATTTAAGTGAACTTCTTTCCGGAAAAATATATTAATATTTTCATGCACTTTTTATATATCCAATAAACAAAATGTTAGTAGCATAATTTACTAGTACATTTAAAAGCAGAATGTTGTCGCAGGTCAACATTAATTGCATCTACATTAAATGTAATTAAACCAGCAGAATCTACAGATGTAATCTGACGGTAAATAGAATATTTATGATTTCATTGTTCAACATCTAATGAATTTGTTTGCTTTTATAATTTTCACTTTATTTCAAAATACACAATATAAGATGCTTTCCATTTAGTGACACAAGCCAACACAAACATCATTCTAGTTTGCTCATTTTTATAATTCTTCCCTATAATTTTTCCCTCATTTCAAGATGCAGAATCGACCCCCTTGATGCAAAATCGATTCCTGATTTTATTCAATTTCTGTAGTCAATCTGTTACTATATTCTACTAACAGATTCTTGCTGGCATTCTACCAACAAAATTGGTAGCAAACATTTTGGAAAATCTCTTTCAATTTTAAGTATTTGCATATTTAATTATGGAGGTAGGGTAGATGTTATGAAGTTGATTACAGTAACACATAATTAAATGACCAATAAAATTATCAGTCCCATAATTATGTCATCTGGTCTCAAGAGGACAAAAGAATCTATCAAAACTAGATGACAATAAAATTCTGATTCCACGTCCAGACAATCGCAAATACACATTCAATTGATAATAAAATACAAATTACGCGACAAAAAAGAGGTTAGGTTCGAACATACTTGCCTCTGATTTTTCGACCATTAGGAAATCCAAACATCGGATCGAACGTCGGTTTACCATCGGACTTGGGCATCGTGTCGGGATGCGTTATGTAGGTAGCGATGAAATTACCCATTATTTAATTTAAATTATATCCAGCGAAACACAATCGAAAGAAAATCGTGAGTGCACCGTTGTTGGGTCGCACTGACATCTACTTACTCCTCCACTAATCTAACTTATGTAAGGTGTACCGATTCTACCGACATACAAAACCAAATTACACCGATTAATTCAAATAATTATTTACTTATTAAATGAATTATTAAGTGATTTACTTGATAGATCGAAAATTTAGAAATCCCACGTCTGAACGATTTTATCAAAATTATAAATAAAAAGTTAAAAAATTTCTCACAAGCTAAACTTTACAAATGCAAATATATAATCATATATTTCATATTTATCCAACTTGTTCAAAGTTCAAAACTCTGCAAATTCTAGTACAAAATATGAGTTTATACACGATTACGAAGGAATATTCAATAATAAAAACACGAGTCGCTTGAAAATACTCTTTATTGATCTGAAATAAATATATTGATATATTAAAATATCGTTCAGTGTAATAATGAGGAATAATTATAAAAATCGCTTCCAGGCTAATCTCCATATTTTATTTTTTTACAAAAAAGTAATCTGTATTATTTCAAAGGAGTAGTAGATCTGTGTAGTATACAATTTTTTATCAGCATCACATGTGTACTATTATCACGGCTTACTCCGTCAAGCTGCATACTTACAATAGGAAGTTTGTTTTTCAACTTATATCATAATTTAATCGTCATCCTCTTCCATAGGTTCCACAGCTCCACTGCCTGGAACATAATAAGATATAAAATACAATATTGTATAATAGAATCCAAATCAATTGTTTAATAATCGTTTTCGTTTCCAGATCTGCATTTAATGTGTATAATAATAATATTGTGTATTTGTTGATATCAACAGTATATTATTGACTCTGTCTATAAGATCTATATAAGAATTATATGTGTATGCAATGTATAAGAAATTTTTATACCATTTTGCAATCGTTCATCGCCTGGTATGTGACCAGCTTGCAGCAATTTACTAAGTCTCTGTACCTCCTCCAAAGAAGACGCATTTGAAATGGCCTCTCGAATTTTATTACGTTCCTCGGGAGTGGTCAAAGGCTTGTCCGCAGCTGCACCTGCTGTTTGTGCCTTCACCTTTTTAGCTATCTCGCGTGCCATCTCTTTGCCACGCTTGCTTCTGAAGTATTCTGTCGCTGCATCACGCTCTGCCTGCTTGATTTTTCGAAAGTCGAGCAATCTGAGTTGGGGAAATCTGTAGACGATGTACTGTCTGTACTGTGGTTTAGCGGACACTGGATTTTGAAGCAGACACAAATTTGTAAGATTCTTCAGTGGTATCAGAGGCTCCAGATCACCCAGTTCTTGTATCATATTGCCAGTCAACATCAAACATTGCAAGTTAGGTATATATTGCTCTAATCCTTCGCCAATCCTGACGATACGATTGTTATTGAAGAACAGGGTCTTTATCCTTTTCAAAAGTGGAAAACCGTCTAGCTTACGTATGTCGTTATCAGAAAAGTCTATCGTGTCAAACTGATCCTATATGAAAAGCAATGTAGTATAATGTAGTAATTATGTTATAATAAAACTATATATTTTGAGGCTAAAGATATAGAAACTATAATATAAAAATATAGAGATTATAAATATAAGTGTCTCCTAAAGAAGTATATACCTACCAAAGTCGCACCTAGGTTCTCGATGGTGGGTATCTTATATCCTGCAACACACCAGTAAAATAAAAATAATGGAATGAATGCGATATATGTAATAACAACCGATTTTGTACGCAACAAACCTCGGAGATCTAATTCACGATCTCGCACAGGATTAATGTACTGCATAGATTGCTCAATGAGTTCCGGCGTCAATTTCACCATCTTGAGCGGTTTTTATAACCACTATTTTTATAAATCTGTTTTCAAACACTAAATAATGCGACTGGACGTATTACAAATTACAAGCACTCGCACGTCTTATGTTATGTGCGTCGCTCAATTTGAGAAAAAGAAATTTATGTGTTTAGGGTTAGGTTTTAGGTTAAGTTAAAACGTTAGAAGTAACTAGCGACACCAACAACAAGGCACGACAACATTCGAAACATTTATCAATATTAGGTACGACAATAATTCTCCTTATCTACTGTATATAAACGTATTCTTATAAGTGAAAATCGAAAATTACTACTGCAATTAATTTGGAAATTAAAACATAATTTTAACAAATAGTCCAACATTCGGCATATAAAAAAATAATAAGCATGATTTTGATAGACTGATAAGCTGATAATTAAATATATTGATTATAGTTCTAATATACAATTTAAGTTTTTTTGTAGATAATTTATAGATATCAATTATATAGTTCCATACAAGCTTCTTGTAAATAAAACGATTAAACTCCGATTAATTCAATTGGTTCAATCAATAAAATCACTTGTGACGCAAAATTTGTAATATTATAATTATAAATTTTGTTTCAAATGATTTTGTTGATTGGGACCAATAATCATGTATTATATATATAACATTATTTTGTTAACATAAATAAAGAATTATTAGTTTGTTTTAGAAATCGTATTTTTTTTACTTATTAAGAGAATTACTCATCAATTAACTTAATCAACTGAATTAATGGTTTATGGAAAAATTTGTAAATACATATAACTCGTTCCCATAATCTCTCTTTCTGTGATAAAATACAAATAGTTAACAATTCTTATTCATATATATTAACAAAATACTTAAAGTGGTAGTTACAGTTTATTGGAATTACTCATATAAATATACATTATACATTATATATATAATATAAATATCACAATGCATTTGGCTTTGCAAGAAAGAAAAACAAGTAATTTGGTACATATTGTTCATCACATAAATTATGCTAAATTAATGATGGCATAATTTATCTTCAACGGACAAAATCCGCGCTATTATTCTAATTATTAATATTTATCAAACTTATCAAAATATGATTTCCACCATGACAGCTCACAACACGAGAAATAACAAAGAATATATAATGAGCATTTTTGTCTCATTCAATATTTCTTGCAAATATGAAAATTGCATTTCTTCCTCTATTCTAAAAAACAAGGCGATAAAAACATCAATAACTCAGTTAATAATTGTACAATGACTCGCAGTAGTACATAATAATATCTAATCGTGTAACACGTGTGTTTTGCTATAAGATAATGACTTTCTTCTTTCACATCCGGCAGGATATTAAAAAATGTAAAAAATATTCTTACCTTTGTGATTTTTTTATTCTATTCGGTATTTAGAAAAAAGAAGCTGGATAATAAGAGAGTTCGTAGGCTTCAATAATTCAATTTTTACAATCTTGTTTATAGCATTCAGTATATTTACGCCTCAGGCCCCTTGGTTCTGCAACAGGTGATATATGCAAAACGTGTTGTATTTAGTTCATGACAGAGCAATCTCTTAGAATATTTCACAAAGATTGCATAACTATATATTAAACGCGTATAAGTAAAATGCAAGTGGTAATAAATAAAATCCGGTTCTCGATTTAATAAAATAAGCAAGTATATTAAGCATTAGAAATATAATGCAGTCGCTAAGTAAGTACTTTATTTCATCATGTCTAAACATCGACATTATAATAGTAAATTGTAATCAGTAAAATAATCAGTCAAAAATAATTAATAATATATAATTAGTCAATTTTTATTTTAACATTATGTCTTATAAGATCAAGAAGTGTGTTTGGATAATCTCGTAAAAGATTTACATAAAGAGAAAATTGAGAAATTGTAATTCTTATTCATTTGAAACTGTTGCGTAAAGAATAAGAATCCTTTTTATCACTCTCTAGGTTTCCCACATTTCGTATTTTCTTCGAATTTTCATGGTTAGTATAATATCGCTTGAACAGATTTTGTAAATGTACGACTATTACGATGTATGAAGGTTATGAATTTCTGAGTTTAAATTTTCTGGAAAAACGTAAATTTAATAAGAATCGAACTAATTAAAAAACTAAAGCAACTGAATAAAGAATTCAAACAAATATTATTTTAACAAAAACTTCAGTTTAATTTGCATCTTGCATAGTAAAGTAAATAAACTAAAAAAATGTGCAAGATGACGACGTTCATCTAATTATGAGTTTTCTTTGTGGAAAGTTACAAATGTAATTGTTTTATTTCTTCAATAGACGTAAAATACCCAGAAGACTTGAATAACATTTAATTGCCGGAACAAATGATTTCCGTCCATTTATCATTGATTTATCAGATTTTAATTAAAGGAAATTAACATATGACGATTGATATCATAAATTCATAAATCTATATGAATATGACATAATGATTTTCAAATAGTGGGAATATTTTTTATTCGAGCTGCTCAAGCGGAAGACAAAACTTGGAAAAATACTTATATCATGACGTATTTCCAGTAATCTTTGTTAACTGCTTCTACGTACATTTTGTTTTTAACTCAATATTAGTTATTTTTTTCTATAAATTACATTGGTTTACAAAAAAATTTTTTTTTTATTATTTTAAACCGGAAAAGGTTTTTCTATAGATTTTTGAATGTCGCAAGTCTAATTTCATCAGTACGTCAGATTTCCGAAATAATTGAGATTTAATGCGCAAAAAAATGACTTTGCGAAAATTAAACCTCAATTATTTCGATAACCTGACGAGCTAAAAAATTTGGCTTGTGGTATCTTTTTCAACATTCTATAAGAAACATTTTGTTCTCTCTCTCTCTTTCTCTCTCTCTCTCTCTCTCTCTCAGTTCAAAGTAATTTTTTTAAGTAAACTAGTATTATTAATAAAAGTTGTTACACGCAAAATTTTTTATTTTGTAATTTGTAATTGTAAATACTTTATAAAATAGGCCCGGCAAAAAGTCCTTTCGTTCTGTTAATATTTTTTATTACTCTTCATTTTTATAGATTGTAAAAATATTTTTTTTCACTTCTACATGCTATATTAATAAAATCGATCGAAAATTAAAATTACGAATTAAAGATAAAAAAAATAATAGTTTCTTTATAACGCGAAGTACAATACGGACAAATATCATTAGAGAAAAAGAAAAATTTCGTCGAAGCTTTATTGCAAAGAAATGAAGGTCAGTATAAATAACGATAATAGATAAATATATCTATATGTAAATTCTTCCACTGATTACCATATAACTACTTCTAGCAATTAGTACATTACGCAGTATATAACTATTATAAGACGTCTTCCAGATAAATTATGTGAAGATGCATTGAAACGGACCGCATACAATTGTTTTCGCGTTTATTGTTACTTATAAATAAAACATTCTCAGAAAAGCAATGCACTTTGGACCGAGTAAGACAATTTGTCTTTTAAAATCTCACAAACTCTCTCGTAATCTTTAAAAAGATGAAGCTCAGAATAGTATGAAATGTATCGATACAGGTTAGTCATAATAAAATATATCACACCCTCGCAAGAAAAGTGTCACAAGTAAAAAATATAAAATTGTTCAGGAGAAAAGTAAGAAAATATTTTGAAATTAATATATTTATTACAAGTATTAAACATAAGTTAACATAGAACTAATTATATATTTAAAATTAATAAGAAAAGAAGAACCATTTGTATTTGCAAAGCCTAAAAACTACCTCGTTTGCAAATACATTGTTTGAGTTATTTTTAATCATTTTTATAGGTCATTTTTTACGTTAAATTTGTAAATTTGTGTAAATAAAGAAAGGTATCTAGAATATAAATAATATTTTTTCGTAACTTCAATAACATTAAAAAGTTATTCAAGAATAAAGGCTTAAATGTGGCGTCTTTCTTCCAACTACCTTACAATTCACTCAAAAAGAAGATTTTTTTCAAGGCAGAGTTTCACTCGATTCCTTAATGTACGATTAAACACTTATAAAAAAATATCTCTTATTTTTATATTCAATATATTCTAATATATCCAAAACTTATTAATATCAAAAGAGAATAAATAGCAGCGTCCCCTTGTTAATAGATACGAATTAATAACTAGTTTAAAAAGTAAATAAATAAGCACATTAGGTATTCGTCATATCAAATCATTGGCTACGTTCAGCAAACAAAGCAGCTCAGAGAATGCTAGTAATTCATTTATCTTTAATATAATTGCTTCTTGTCTATAATTCTTTGCTAGGTAATAATGGCTGTGTTTCAAAAAAGCTTGGTGAGAAAAAGCTTGTCTATAGTTCTTTGCTAAATTTAATAATGAATGTATAAGAAACCAATCATAATATAGATTTTTAGATTAGTATTAAATAGGTTTGTACTGAATTATAAGTTTGTATTTCATACATTAGAGAGGTTGCATATACTTAATCTAAATTAATATTAATGATAAACACACAAAATTAACTGTGCAAAATGACTGTGCGAATACCACATGAAGTAAATATCTTTACATCCCTAGACGGCACACAATATTTACAAAATATTACAAAATATTATATTTATAAATATTCATAAGATTTATTTTAAATATTTTGTAAATATTTTTATTTTTTATGATCTTAGATTGCACAGATCATAAACATTTATTATAAATATTATGAAATATTTATTAATATAAAATATGTATGAAATATTTATATAACATTTCAAAAAATGAATATTAATAAATATTTATCATAAATATTCTGTGCTGTCTGGGTCATTGTTCATGGTCTGTCTAATTAAATCACATTGAATTAAAATTAGAAGTAGATTATAATAGTTGCATTTAGAAAAAGCAACTTAGCGAGCACTCAGTGATTCTTTAATTTAATCCTCGGATATAGCAGACATCGTGATACTCGCACGCACGGCGAACGCAGAGTCAAAAGTGATCCAAGAATGAAATTATTTTAAAACGTTTGAAAAGCAGTTTTTTATTCACCCAAAGAAAATATTCTATCATTTAGCGGTTCCGTGTTGATGTCAGAGAATTTTCCATTTATGTATGACCTCAAGAGGATACTCTACAAAGTAAAGGAATTTCGTATATATAGAGTACTGGATTTAGGATTGCAA